AATCAGCATATACTTCTGCCATGGGATGCCACCCCTGAAATTCTCCTGCCACCCCATGAATATTTGTCTAGATCCGCCCCTGTGTGTGTGCGTATGTGTTTGACTGCTTATAAGTAGGGGTGCACCGAATGGGAAATTCTTGGCCGAAACCGATACCGAAAATAGGAAACAGTTGGCCGAAAACCGAATGCCGAAAGGCCGAAAATGATTAATAGAAATATATATATATATACTGTATATAATGTATACATTTTTTACCAATGTTGTTCAGCTACCTGATTATGGAAAAAGACATGATTATGGCAAAACTTAACTTAAATAATAATCACTATTATGGGTCCATAAAACATTTATTCAGCACTTTTGAATGCATACAGTACATTAATTCCAAGTCAATTGCATTTTCTTTTCTTTGTAGGATAACTACAACAAAGTGCATTCAGAACAAAGCCAAGGTGCTTTAAAACTGCATAAACATCTAGGCCAGTAGGCCTACAACAAAATAGTGTAAATAAAGACTGTAACAACCAGGCCTTCAACAACAACAAATGCACCTATAAGTGCATGCATACAAATGTACAAACTGAATGTAACTATTTACAAATGAAATTACAATTGAATTTCAAGAATCTGTAAATAAGGCTGTCTGTCCTCATAAGCAAAGTAGTAAACATTGTATAAAGATACATAAAGTGAAAACTGGATACAAAATCCACAATCAATTACAAATTAAATTACAATTTCAAGAATCAGCAAATAAGGTGGTCTGTCCTCATGAGCAATGTAAACAACATTGTATCATTTAGATACCGAAAGTACAATATATTGAACACTGTGCTGCTGTCATTTCCCCCTAATGATAACCTGAGATGGTGAATTATAACTCACAATGAAAATTGTTCAGGAAAATGGGTATAGAGTAGACATGTAGAACTAGATAAGCCAGCCTTGTCTACTTATTAAGGAAAAGTGGGAGTTCTTTTTAATGAACAGTAGCTTCTCTGCTTTATCAGCCATAAGTCTGCTCCTCTTCTCATCAAGCACATGAGAGGCAGCGCTGAACAGTCTCTCACTGTCAGTGCTTGTGATTTGATCTTACTCCGCATATTTGTGCGGGTGTTTTGATTTCAAGTGGTGGAGTAATCCCGAAGTGGTGAAAGTCTTTGCAGTTACACCCCCTCGAGAAATGTCAGCTGAACACGTTTTACAAATCGCAATCGCAATCCGCGCCTCTTTCTCTGATATTTTTAAATATCTCCAAGCGGCAGAGATGTTGGCTGTGAGCCAGCCGCGAGCATGGTCGCCGCGTTTTGATTACGTCATCACAACAACACGTTAGCTTACCAACGTAACCCTGTTCTCTGACATTCGGTGATATTTTTTCGGTGCTAAAACCCTGGTGCCGAAAGCCGAAAGGGCCTTTTTAACCATTTTCGGCCGATAATTTTCGGCGGCCGAATATTCTGTGCATCCCTAGTTCTAACCCATGTTATTTAAAACTTTACAGTAAAATTACTTTTAAAGATGTATCCGATAATAGTGACTACATTGAAAAGTTATTAAGATCACAAGATAGAATAATGATGATATCATCTGCTTTCAGTCTGTAATGAGCTGAATGAGAAGTGAATCCAAGAACTGTTTTCAATAGCAAATTCATGATTTAGTCAACCCAGTGACTCTGTTCTCTCTCCCTCCCACAAATACACACACACGCCAGGTGTGTGTGCCCCTGATGGATTTATATTAATCAAAATGCAAAACAGTTTCCATCTTAATTTCTCTGTGTTTATGCAAATATAACTTTCTCCCTCTTACTCACCCTCCCGCGTGTGTGCGTGTGTGTGTGTGTAACAGTGAGTAGGTGGAAACTGACATTGAGCAACACGCTGAAAACATGGACTGTAACACACAAACAAAAAGACAAGCACATGTTGTGCATGAGAAAAGTATAAAATGCATACAAATTATTTTCTCTTAGCTTCACTTGGTGTTGTGGTGGAGAAAAGCAAAACATATTCTAGAACCTAAATTACTTTATTCTATTTTAATCGTATGTGTGTATATCTATATTTGTTGATGGGTGAAGCTGTTATAATTTGAGCAGGCTTTTTGCAGTGCGCAAAATAATATTGTATTATTCTGACTAAATCATTTAATCTCATACAAAATGACTTGGAATCTACTCAAACATATAGCAACTTAATATAACTTGTGGTCTTAAAGGGGAAGGTAAAACAATGGAAAAGCTACATCTAGATAATTCAGATTTGTTGTTTGTTTTCTTATCTACTGCTTCTCATTGAACAAGCAAATCAAACTAGCCCTTACGAATATCTTTTACCAAATTAATCGTTTTCTACTGCCAAGATAAAATAGAAAATAGGAGATAGTGTTTGTGTGGAAAATGTTTTGTCATTACTTGATTGAGTTCCTGAAGTGGTCCTCTGCTGGGTTTTTCACGGTACAGCTGTTGAGCACCCACAGGTCTGCGTCAGTTGGGTCATCTGTAGAAAGAGAGAAAGTACATTTTTATTTTTCATGACAATCACTAGAATACTAGGATCATACCAATGAAAAATGACACAGAATAAATTGTACAACAATGAATTCAACAAAGCATAGGGAAACTGAAATAAAGGGAAAACTAATTAATTGGTTCCTGGCATAGTTCCTATGTGAAGAATGCAGTGGGTCATTATTATGTCCTCAAAATGTCACACCAAAATGTTCTCACATATCGGTCGTTTAAACAAGACTCTAAACTGTAAAAGAAATGAACCTCTCTTTCAAAAGAACAACACTGTCTCCTTCACACATAATAATATCAAAACAATGCTGTCTTTATTCCATGTACGTATATGAAGCCATGTTTCGGAGTGGTAGATATAGGCAACATTTTAAGGTTACATTAAATGTTTATGTGTGTTAACTAGACTTTGTTTTTTGTGGCACTTTAATTTATTTCCTTATGCCTTGA